ATGCCCATTTCCTTTGTGTGCTAATGGTTTGGGGAGACCTTAGCAGAGGCCAAGCCTGTGCTTTGCATGGATCCTTCTCTATGTCTCCTCAAGCAGAGGGCCCCCCTCTTTTGGCACTAACTCCCCAGAGTAGAGCAGAGCAGGGAGCTTGAGAAGAGAAACACCAAATGTTCTGAAAATGTCATTGTGAAATCAAAATGGAAACTAGTCAACTAAAAGCATCCAAAGGTGTTAAAAACTTCTGTTTATTAAAATATGATTGGCTATGGACTTCAGAAATAGTTTTTAAAAGTCATGTTTTGGGTAAATTGGCACATTTGGTAAACTTAGCAGCCTGATGGGCTGGCTTTCACCACTGGGCCTGGCATCCAGGAATAGGGAGGTCCGTTACTCTTTCGGGACACTTCTTCCCCACCAAAAGGACTGTTGGAAGATATAGCCCATGACGGTGAGTGGTTTCTATCTTATCCCCACATCTAGAGTCCGGGAGGGCACCATGATAGGTCCCAGGGGTTTGGAGGAGGCTGGGTTTCTGTAAGGTCAGCACTGCCGGCTGCCTTCCCCACCTGAGAGGAAGGACTGCAGCGCCTGCTCCTGTGAACTCACTGCCGGCTCAGCCTGTGGCTCCAGGAGTGTCTACCTAGAGAAGTACAGCCTTTTACGGCACACTCACTGTCACTGTGTTCTACAGCCGGTCACATGAGCGACAGCGGCCACAGCTGTTCGGGAAGGCTCAGGGCAAGGCGACCACCGGCTCTGATTCCAGCACCGGCGGAGGCACCTTGCACGGCGAGGCTGCGGCGCAGTCTCCTCTGCGTGGCTGCAACCCCGCTCGCTTCCCGTGAAAGCAGACCCTCTGAAGCTGTTCTTCCAAATGGCTTTCTGCCGCATTTGAACTGTGCTTCCCTTCACCCCAAACAGCTGCTTGTCAGTCCGCAGGCGCCTTGCTAACCTGGGTTTGCACTGTGTCTGCTCCCTTGTTGCTATCAAGGGGATTCCGTTTCATCTGACAGTTCTACTGTTTTGAAGTTAATCTTTTGGATCAACTAAAGATACCCCCTTTTCTCATCCTCATGCCCATCAGACGGTTTAGAGAGACCAATCCATCAACCTCCGGCTGAGCATGCCTAACTGCAGCTCTGAAAGACTGAAAGTAAGACGCTAATGGAAAACGCGAACACTTCCATTTTCCTACTCCACACCCCTCTGACTTCAGCCCTTCTTCCACACTGGGCAGAAGACATCTGCTGCTTTTCTGAAAACCCAGTGATCAACAACACTGCTGGATAAGAGTACAAGGGCAGAACCAACTTCTGGAGTAGGACAGATACTCTAAATTTAAATAGAAAATGTGTAATAGGGAATAAACCAACACATCATTGTAGCATGCTGAAATGAGCTTCTTACTAATGGTCAGCAGTGACACCGCGGTGTTTTTCACAGGCAAAGGCAGGTGTTGAACTCCAAATGTCAGGGCCTGGAGAGGGGGCCGTTCTGAGGGAAGGATGCATTTTGATTCTGGACAGTATACGTTTTCCTTTGAATCACTGAGTCATTGGGTGTCTACAGGATCCTGGGGGTCAGCTCTTCTCAAAGACTCAGGGACAAAAGTTGATTTTCCCAAAGCAGCCGAGTGCGGGAAAGCGTGCTAACGTTGGACAATGTGTGGAGGGCTGTGGCATCATCACGCAGCTCCTACTGTATACACAGAATCATCTGCTGAAATAAACACCAAGTGTGCTGCTTTCAAGTGTTTCAATGACCTCTGCTTCATTATTTCCTGACATTAAGAAGTTTCAAAATTCAAAAAACAAAAACAGGCCAGGTGCAGTGGCTCATGCCTCGGATCCCAGTGTTTTAGGAGGCCAGGAATTCGACATCAGCCTGAGCAACATAGTGAGACCCTTTCTATACAAAAAGTTAAAAAAAAAATAAACCCCAAAACCAAGAAAAAAGAAAGTAGACTAGAAAATCAAGGGCCTTTTAAAAGCTTTTAAGATAGTACAAATGGAGCATAAATGAGAAGATAGTCGTTCACAAGGGTGAATGCTGTCGGTACCTGACCAACCGCTGTCTCATAATTAAGGATTAGTTGATTCCTGTGTTTGTTAACCTGTTACTGTGACCTTTCTCAGTGTCAAGCAGGATGCTAAGCCCTGGGGATAAAAGATGACATTGTAGACCCTGCCTCATGAAGTTTGGAGCCCAAGAGCAGCAAAAGATGTACAAGAATGAATACAGTGAGAGACAGAATAAGGTGTGTACTCATTACAGGGACAGTTTAATGTTTAATTTAGAAAGAAAAATCTCTAGGTGGATGCGGTGGCTCACGTCTTTAATCCCAGCACTTCGGGAGGCTGAGGCGGGCAGATCACTTGAGGTCAGGAGTTCGAGACGAGCCTGGCCGATACAGTGAAACGCCATCTCTACTAAAAACACAAAAATCAGCCGGGTGTGGTGGGGGGCGCCTGCAGTCCCAGCTACTGGGGAGGCTGAGGCAGAAGAATCGCTTAAACCTGGGAAGCAGAGGTTGCAGTGAGCCAAGATCATGCCACTGCACTCCAGTCTGGGCGACAGAGTGAGACTTTATCTCAAAAAAGAAAAAAAAGAAAGAAAAATCTCCCTTTATATTTTTTTCTGTGTGTCTTTCAGTGAAAATTCCTTTAGCCAAGATGTTGGATCAATTGATTGAATCATCGTAAGGATGGTGTATGTAAGACTCTTCCTAAACCACAAACTCAAATACTATGGTTTTTAATGGGCAAGAAACCACCGTTTCAGGCATGGTGGTGAGTGCCCCGATCTGGAGGCCTAAGGGCCAATATTTGTTCCTACTCTCTGGGAACAGTGAGGTTCAGAGGACAGGGTCCTGGAGAGCACGCCCTGAAGGCTGGGCTGTAGCCGCTTCTATTACTGGATACTTGGACGAGTCACTTGTCCGGTGTGAATCATTTCCTCTTCTGAAAAATTATGGGTTTTGACTAGTTCATCTCCAAGTTCCTTTCCGACAAAGGGTTCTGAATCTCTATTTCTAGAAGGTGAAAATTTACCCTGAGAAACTTCAAGTCACAGATGGTTTTTAGATAGAGGATTAGAATAATAAATAAAGCCTCTACCTGGGAAATGTAAGCACTTTCCCAGATTATAAGTCATCATCATTTCAAAATAAACTTGCTGCAGAATAATCTTTTTAGAAGTATAAATTACTGCCTGTGAACTGAAAGAGAGGAGAATGTCCTTAAGCTCAATTGGTAAAGCTCTCCATCAGATTCAACTCTAGCTGCGGGAAGATGTTAAACAGTGTGAAAGAAGATAGAGGAGGCGAGTTTCTGGACTGCAGGGCCAGCGGCGGCCAGGAGTTGTCAGCTTCATAAGCAGGTGAGGTCCAAGTCATAGGGCCTCACAGCAGTGTCAACCTTGGACTTCTAGCCATTAACACAGTCTCCAAATGCTGAGGTCTGTTCCTGGAATAGAAACCTGCTCTGTTCTGCCTAAAATGCTCTTTTAAATGGTTTCAAAGTTGCTCAGTGTTTTGCTAATGTTTTAGGGGAACTATGGAAAAGCTTGCACACCACAGAGAGAAATCATGCTAACAGGGGAGCAGGGCTGCCTGGGGAACTGGTCCCGCTCAAACAGGCATTGCTATCAGAAATTCTTCTGCAGTGAGGCAGTGCTGGAATAGGTTCCCAACGCCCCCATGTTCCACAGGGACAGGCTGGCAAAAGGGGCTGTGTTGGTGGTGACAAGGGCAGCTGAGGACACGAGGTCATGACTCGGCAGTGTCAGAGGTCTTCTGTGATGGGCACTGCCCTTGTGACAATCTAATTAGGTGTTGGATCAACGGATCAAATATTAAGCTGCAGGCTTTCAAAATGTCCATTAAAGGTTTAAAATGTACGCAGGCCTTGATTTTAATGGCCCACTAACAGAGCTCATCAAGCTCCACAGTTCTTGTGATGATGCTAAGAAGGACCCAGCTCCTGTGTTCCTGTTACTGGCATAATCCAACACCTTCATGGCCTTCGGTCCTCTTTATTAGTTATTGACAATGACAACTGCACACATCTTGACATTTCTGCAAATACTTCTATTGTATATGTGAATTACGTTTCTATAGGATTTAATAAGACACGTGTTGTCACAACAATAAAATGGAAAGCAGAACCAAGTTCAAAAGACCTTTATTTCTTTTTATCCTCTTCTCATCTCCATCTTTATAACCCAAAGGGCACAGTCTTCAATGGAAGGCTGTTTATAAATGGTAGGTTTTTTGCCTCTGTTGATAAATGCTCTAAATAACCTTAAATTATATACCATGTCCTTTGGACTATAAAGCATGCACCTAATTTCTCCATGTTTTTTGAACATTATCAATGTTCAAACACACCTGAATTACTCGCAGGGGCTTGATAATGAAGGATGTGTGTTGTTTATTTAAGGTTGTACATAGAAATACTGGCAGGCTTTGCTGCTGACACAGTGTCACACATGCTTGCTCACAGCTGTATCCTCAGCAGATAGACGGGCCTGGGATCCCACAGGGGCTCCATGCCTTTGGGCATGCGATGGCCAAGTAAGTAGGCTATGTCAGCACAAACATAACTGGAAAGGAATTTTTACTGGGGAAAACTGAAATAATGCTGATTAAATTTGGAAAAGAGACAGGGATGGTTGTAAAGTTGACTCTTGATGTATAAAAAGTGGGCTGGAAATTTTTCAGCAAGACAAGTGTATTATTCCAATTAAAGGCAACCTCTTCCTTTCTGCAGCATTTGAGAAGTCCCAAGAAACGCCTGAAGTAGGTCCTTTATTCCTAGACTCTAGGGCCTCCTTGAATAACAGTCGTTCACATTTGAAGAAGAACATGTATTGAAGAGGTTGCTAATTTAATCTAGCATCACGTTACGTCGTGGAAAGTAAGATTTCCCCCTTAAAAATAGCAATTGCCCCTTTACAAAAACCAAACAGAGAGAAGAGACAGAGAGAGCCTCTGTCCTTACCGTGAGTGACAGAGCCATGCAGACGAAGGTGAACTTCTTGATGTGGGCTGCCGTGACTGTGTTGCTCGTGCTCACCAGTTTGTTGCTGGGGTTATTCTGGGGAAAGAAAACCACAGTCATGAATGGGCCCTGCTTATCCTTGGCTGAACCCACCAGGGGATCTTGAAGAGCATCTTCCTTTTGTTTTATCTGATGTGTCTGAAAAGAGGTTTCAAGTGACAGTTTGCCAGGCGGCTGTCATGGTGAGTGTCTCTTGGGCAACTGTCAGGTCCCTGCACAGGATCATTAACCTCAGTGAATTCTCGACTCAATGCCCTGTAGCATCGTCCAACTCAGTCACCTCCCCTAGGCCTGGGTGGCCCACCTCGCCCAGTCCTGGGGCTTCAGCTCTGAAGCCTGCTCCTGCACCATGCACCCCACTCCTGGTCCCAGCAGACCCTGTATCTGGCCACCATGGGCATCTCCCTAAATGCCATGGCCCTGCTCAGGGGCCTCCAGGGCTCCTCTCCTCCCTACCAAATGGACTCTAAATCCCACCGGGCATTCAAGGCCTTGTGCAATCTGACATGGACTCACCTTCCAGCCGTGACTTCTCTACTTCTAGCCCAAATGGGGCTTCCTGCTCTTCCCCTGACACACCTGGCACTTTTGTTCCTCCTGCCATTGAATCCTGATTTTCAAAAACATCCCTCTTTCGAAGGCCCATCATCTTCACAGCCCATCTGTTCCCAAAAGCCTCTTTGACCTTTGACCTCCAAGCTGAGCCCTACCTCCTGTAAAGCCCAATGAACCTGGAGCTCTCTGAGGGCAGGCATCACGTCCTGTCATGCGTCCAACCCCGGTGAGGCTGTGCTTGCTGAGATAACGCCCTGCGTGTCTCCCTCAGAAGCACTCAGCACAACATCTGAGTAGAAGAGATACCCCAAGAGCATCTGCTGCACTGGATTTCAAGCAGGACTGCGGGAGGCTCAGATGTCCCCCAGTTTGGCAGACAAAGGGGCCTGCCGAGGCTCTCCAGCTGCAATGCTAAGCGTGCTTCTCACCTCCGCAAAATGAGGGTCTGGCCCCCGGACCACAAAAACTGGCAGAGAAAAATAACCCTGGCCTCATTATGGACCTAATTAGTCCCAGAGCCGACTCACAAAAACAAACCCTGAACACCTGGCTCCGCATCCAGCCTCGTGAAACACACACCCGCAGCTACTGCAGGATCCACGTGGAAAAGAGCTTCTGATTTTCCTTTACTGGGAGGCTAAGGTCATTTCTCAAATCCCTGCCACCACCAGGACCAACCTCTGAGTGAGTATACGTCTTCTTAATTCTAGTCTCTAAAACATATCTGTTTTCTAGACTGCTCTACGGCAAAGTGCAAGTCCCAGTGGTTGGAGACCTCCATCTCCATTCACCCTGGATCTGTTAGAGGACCGCTCTCTGTAACAGCAGTGCCCTGCTGGGTACGATGAGAAGGAGGCCTATGTTGGAAAGAATTAGGGAACCTCAGCAAAACACACATACTGCCATGGGGACAGCAATGTAGCACAGCTCCTTCAGGGGCACTGTGATTTGCAAAATGGCACATATTCCCATGAAGATCGTTGGAATAAACCAGCAGGTATCATTAGATTAGCACTGGCGTTTCCGTTTGTTGGCCCAGTTGGCTCAGAAGCATCATTTTTTGCAGAGAACTGAACATTAGAGAGAATCTGCACTAGTGGAAACCTCTCTCGGCTCCTACTTAGCTAGAACTCCCAGAAGGTATGTGAGAAATTTTAAATCTCTGATTCTGGAGCCCACAAAGAAGCTAAGGATTTCAACTGTCAATGCAGCAAATTCTGGAAGTCCACATGGAGGTGCCTAAGATTTTGGTGAATAGATGGTATTCACATAAATGGCTGGCGTGGCTTGCTGGAATGCTTGGAAACAATGGGCGAGGTTTTAAAAGGATTTGGAGTAACTTGAAGTTCTGGCTAGAGGTATGCTCGTTAAAGGAATTTCTTTTATAGCTCCTAGCCTCTGTGATCAAGAATAAAACAATGTTTTTGTTGGATGCTCTTACTGAAACCATACACTGTTGTATTGTTAAATTTTATGATTTCAAGGTGGCCAAAAATAATCTCAGATGAGACCTAGGCAGCCAGAAGGTTCTAACACTTCAGCACTTGCCCTTCTCATCAGTTTCATCAGATGATCACCTTATTCATCAGGAGCTAGAACTGAAATTTAGCAAAAAGACACACATTCATGCTGGTTTTCTAGGATTTACTTCTATACACACGTGCCTTGAAATGAAAACAATGATTTCTATCTATAGACTGAATTAAACCCACTCAAACAGTGTCTGCTCTCTCCAGCAAGTGACTCATGCCTTCTGAGTCCACTCTCAGAGGCCTGTGAAGCAGGAACCAAAAGCATTTCTTAGGAGATCTCTGCATCCTGATGCTGCAACAGAATATTCCCAGTAGCTGACGGGTCCTAAGTCACAGTCCAGTAGGTGGCGGGTCCTAAGTCACAGTCCACTAGGTGGTGGGTCCTAAGTCACAGTCCAGTAGGTGGCGGGTCCTAAGTCACAGTCCAGTAGGTGGCGGGTCCTAAGTCACAGTCCAGTAGGTGATGGGTCCTAAGTCACAGTCCAGTAGGTGACGGGTCCTAACTAATGGTCCACTGAGGAAATTCCACTCAGTACAGGGTTCGGGGCCTATCGCCCATTAGCTCAGTACAGGGGAATCCCTCACTGGTTTTCAGGTGGGTTACCCTTCCCAGGTGATCCTCTATCTCTAGGGAAATAGAGGATGCAAGTGATAGAGACAGGGAAGAGTGGCCTGGGGGCTGGCAGTGGAAGAATGTCCTGATAGGGAAGTGGGAGCAGGCTGTGTGGGGGTGGATGTGTGTGTGTGTTTGTACAAGCATGCCCTAACAGAGAAACTGCTCGGGAACTGCAGGAGCAGAGGAGGAGGAGGGCAGATGTGGATGATACTCCAGACTTGATCCTCCGTCTCCATCTCACACTTTCAGAGATGCTTGGGCGGATGCCCTTGGGCCAGGCTGTAAAGTGTGGTGGGGGAGAGGGGGTCCCCAGTCCCTGCTCCCCAGGCCTCGCCCCTCCCAGAACCCACAAACGGTCTCAGGGGGGCATCCTGAAAGCTGGTGGCCATGTGAAGAAAGGAGGGAAGCCTGCAGCCGGTGGCCTAGCCTTGCTGTGTGGCTTCCTAGGGCTTCCTGTGCCCAGGAGAGGTTAGGCCGGTGGTGGGGGAAGGCGGGAGGGGCCGGCATTATCCAGGGTCCAGTGCCAAGCTGCCCATTCTGCCAGAGTTGAGCGCTGTGGACACCGCTGGCTAGGAGGCTTCCTTTCCTCACCTCACAGGCTCTGGCTGGGATAAGACAGCGTGATGCTGGCAGTGGCTGCTAGTTCTGTGGACATTCAAGGCACAACAGGCACCCTTCGTGGTAAGAAGTGGCAGCCTGTTTGCCTCCTTCCAACGTATCATTTAAAACACTGTAGACTATTTTTGGAGTATGTTTCACCAGCCATTTGTTTTAGAGTATTAATACAAGTCTATAGGTTTAAATCATAATGCTATAAAATAGACTTCTATTGAATGACAGCAGGACAGTGCTGACTGGGTCACAAGTTACGGGGCAGAAGGCTTATGTGACTCTTGTGGCTGGGGAGACACAGCAGCTGTCAACAGAGGCTTTCCACTGGAATACGTCTGCCATATCAAAACACTGGACCCAGGTCTTGCCTATGGCCAGGCTTGAGCACGCAGGTAGGCCAGCCCACAGAAAGAGAACCACATCCTCATGAAGCCAGGAGCACGGCTTCCTGCCTACACCTTAGCCATCTGGTAGGGGGTCAACAAAGTATTCTTTAAAGAAACAAACCACAGAAATAAAATTCCATAAATTGATTTTGGGGGAAGTTTATTTTCCCTTTTGCAAACAAATCATTACTCAATGGGAATAACCTGAAAGTAACTACAGAAGATCACTTTGGAAAAGCATCGCGGGATCAGCGTCAAGGCAAGCTTCAACTTGCCCGTTATTTTCTGAGGAAAATATTCCTTCAACGTCCCCAACGTCATATTAACCTTACAAAGGGAAGCAGGACTGAGGAGCAACAAAGTGTCCCTCGTCAGAGAGCCCTGTCTATCAAGCAGTCATTTCAAAAGCGTGTTTCAGACATGACACCGCACGGGTTCTCACCTTGTCGAAAGCAGGATAGACAGCACGGATCTCCGTCAACCAGCCGTATGGCATGTGACCCACGGGGTACGTGGCTGTCAAAATCGCCACGGCCTGCAACAGGAAGAGGTGGCAGAGTTAGCAGGATATCAGCAGAAAGTCCTCCAGGAGCTACAGTAGGTGACAAAGCACGCTGGCTCAGGTGCAGCCACTGAGGACAGAGCCCTCCACACTGGGGGACAAACATCAGGCAGGCACAGGACAGCCCGGGACGGGGGGAACTGACAGCAAATTGGGCTCCTAGGGGCAGGCACTCCGCCGCATCCTTGAGAGTGGAATGAACCAGCCAACAAAGTGGGCGTGAAACAACGGGGAGGCATCATGTTTTATGCGGATGCAACGAGAAAGAGGTGCAGACCACTGGCTGGGAAGCCAAGATTCCTTTTATTTTTTCTCTTTTTTTTTTTCTTTTTGAGGGAGACCAGAGTTTTATTATTATTCAAATCAGTCTCCTCGAGCACTGGGGTCAGAGATGAAATCACAGGAAGTCAGAGCTGTCTTCTTGTGCTCAGTCAGTTCCTGGGTGGGGGCCACAAGCTCAGATGAGCCAGTTGATTGATCTGCGTGGGGCCAGCTGATCCATCAAGTGCAGGGTCTGCAAAGTAAGCACTGATCTTTGGAGCAGCTTAGGGGGGTCCGAATGTTGTAGCCTCCAGCTGCATGACCCCTAAAGCATCATTTCTAATCTTGTGGCTAATGGTAGTTCTACAAAGGCAATCTAGTCCCCAGGCAAGGAGGAGGTCTGCTTTGCTCTTACCATTTTTGTTTAAACTATAAACTATAAGTTTCTCCCAAAGTTAGTTTGGCCTATGCCCAGGAAAGAACAAGGATGGCTGGGAGGTTAGAAGCAAAATGGAGTCAGTTAAGTCAGATCTCTTTCACTGTCTCAGTCATATGTTTGCAAAGACAGTTTCAATCCTTCCCTTTGGGTTTTATTACACCTTAATCTTAAAGTGTAGGCTATAAAGATGGGAAAAGACCATGCACTGCTCTGAGACGCCAAGATTTCAACCCAGGTCCACCCAACTCCAGAATCTTTGCTCATTCCATTGAGCTACACAGAACCCTCTAGTCTAGCCCTATTTATTCTGGATTCTCAAAATGAAATTGCGAGCCCTCCCTGCTCTCCGGAGGGTCTCTTCCTTGGGATCCACCTCTAAGCCTCCACTCCATCCTTCAGGGACGCTGACATTTTCGGTGGTTGTTGATGGCTCTGTGCTACTCTCCTTCCAACCCAACTCACTCCCAGTCTGTTTGGTCACTATGGCCCAATTTAGATTTTTAATTTAAGAAAATTAAATACACATTTTGTGCAGAAAGCTATCAATGTGTTTCCATGAAAATATGAGTTTCTGACCAGACATGGTAGCTCATGCCTATAATTCCAGTACTTTGGGAGGCTGAGGCTGGAGAACTGCTTGAGCCAAGGAGTTTGAGACCAGCCTGGACAACAAAGCGAGACACCGTCTCTACAAAAGAAATTGAAATATTAGTTGGGCATGGTGGCTCAGGAGGCTGAGGTGGGAGGATTGCTTTAGCCCAGGAGATCGAGGCTGCAGTGAGCTATGATCGTGCCACCACTACACTCCTACCTGGGTGACAAAGCAAGACCCCGCCTCTTAAAGGAGAAAAATACAATGACAGTTCCTTCCCTATGTGAATGAAAAGGAAGAAAAGTGAAAACAAAGCATCTAAACCTACATCCTGGCAGTGTTCAACTCTCTGCCTAGCCTGTGAAGGAGGAAAGCGAGCTTCAGCTGTTTTAATTAACGAAACGGCAATGCCCGGAGGTTCCAGGAACATAAGGCAAGTCCCCAGCAGTGTGACGGAAGTGTGGTGTGGCGTGGCATGCTAGAACAAAAAGGAGCGTTGGGATCGGGCAGACCTGGATCCAAACCTTCACCTCATCGCTCCCCAGCTGTGCAAAGCACCACCTCTCCCACAGCTCCCCTTCTTGCTCCTCTGGTGGAACAGTAAGAATAATATCCATCCCATAGGGTTATTGGGGAGTCAAGGAAATGTACATAAATGCCTGGCACATGAGCAGATGACCAATAAATGCCAGCGCTGTACCCCACGTGCTGTTCCTATATGCCATCGAGGGCAATTTTCAAATGGCTCTAACGTATACTTGTCCTTTTTCTTTTGTTAAAGGGGAGGATGGAATTCTAGCACACAGGTGGCTGGGGTTCCATACTTTTTATGAGAAACTTGAACTGAAGTATTCAAGAACAAAAACTGTGTGTTACAGTAGCCACCCAAGATGACGCTCATGACTCAAAAAACAAAATCCAGGAACACACCGAAGCAAGAGAAAGTGTCCTGCTTCGGATTTATGTGCTTCTCTTTCCAGGAGAACATGAGCAGCTTCCCAGGACATGGAAACTGGCAGGGGCTCTGGCTGGAGACATGCTGACAGTGCAGTTAGGGCTCCAGACCGCTCCCCGCAAGGCAGCCCCTGGACAGGGGGCCCTCGTGGGCAGCCATGAGCCTTCCTCGGGAGCAGCAGTTCCAGAGTTGGAATTAATTCTCCAGAGGGCAGTGGAGGAGGAAGCCAATGAAGTAATTCTATTAGTTCAAACCCAACTTGAAAGAGGGAAAAATGAGTCAACTCTTTCTTTGGAGTGGCTGCCAGTTTCCAGAGAAAGTCTGTTCGATCAAGGAGCTCCCCATCTGAGGTGGGCAGGCCAGGCGCGGGTGTGGTGGTGACGGGTGGGGTGGCACATGCATGACGATGAAGGGCAGGTGAGGGCAGGCTGGGTCAACACAGAGGCAGCGGCCCTGCAGCCACTGGGTGTGTCCCACTCGGCTGCCACGTGGCATGCTCCATCGTCCTCTGCCACCACGGTGAAGAGGCCGGTGCTGGCTCCGTGGACATGGAAAACGGAGTAGGAGTCAGAAAACCTGGATTCTAACGCTAGCCCAGCTTCCAGCGAGTTCTGTGCCTTTAACCTTTTCTTTCTGTGCCTCAGTTCCTCATATGATAAGCAAGAAGGATGTATGACATGCATGACAGGTTTTCTCCCATAATCATAAAAATACACAATTACATGATTATACGTCACTGAACGAGATCTTTATGGTTTCCTAGGGTGACTGTCAGGTAATTTAAAATTGGAGAATTACTTGAGCTCTCAAGAAGAACTGGACATCAGTTTCGGCACCCCCTGCCCCACCAAGCTGATTATAAGCCCCACATCCCCAAAGCATGGCCTACCTCTGTGGCTGCGGAACTGCCACCAAGGTCCCGGGAAACAAACAGGTTGACAATAGGCCGACTGATTCTCTGTGTGGCCAGAATGAGAGCCAAAGGCCACCAGAAGCTCAGCATCTTTCTTATTGTTGCATCTCCCTACATTAAGAAACGAAGATAAAAGTTACCTAAACTCTACAAGTAGAATGGAAAAAACGATTCAGAATCAAAGCTTTTCCTTCGTATGTTAATCACCAGCCAATTCATTATACTTGAAAGTAATATAAGGAAAAGTGTCTGTAGACAAGCCAAGTTGAATTAAAATAAAATGTTCAGTCTTAATAGAAATTAACTGAGACAGCTGGCAAGCTGCTGTGAAATTAAAACACACACTGAAATTTAATGGATCCCAACCACTCTTTTCCATACTGGGACTCAGGGAATCTCTAACCAAGGTAGAACCCACATCTAGGGCCTGAGAAACAGGTCTGAAATTAAGTCTTCGTTATTCTCATCAAATGGGCTGGCTAGAAGCCATGTCAGGAAGAGGTAACTCTTAGAAATAAAAAAGTTATTATAATTTATTTTGGAATCAGCTCACAAAAATGTGCCTAATTATTTTGGCAGTGTAGAAATTGACTACAGAGGTTCTTATTCTCGGAGCTCTCATAGACGTCATGTAAACTGCTCAAAAGCATAACCAAAATAAAGGCATGTAAAGAACAAGGGATTTCTAAGACTTCTGTGGCAAAGGTGTGGGATATCTTTAAAGTCTGGCTTTCATTATGCAATTTTGGTTTTGATTGTTCACAAGGGTGAGAATTACATCACAGAACCATCGTGGCCACTTTATTTCCTTTTGCTGGTGGCTAAATGTTAAGAGACAGATTGTTACCATCAAGACCAATTTGTGGTTGGCCTAGTGATGAGATAACTAGATAGGATTTCACTGACAGCCTGACCTTGGATGGAGGTAAGTGGTCCAAACAATTACTGCTTGACACCACAAAGTAATGTGTGGCCCAAGTGGGGATCAGGGTAAGGTGAGGGGATGAATTTAGGGCTGTAGATGCCTTACAGCTAAATGCAGACAAACCGAATGATGTCTCATACCTATGGGAAGGGAAAATTAGCACACGCAGAAATCAGATACGGTTTATACTTACAACAAACAGAATGCTTTGGTCATCTCTCTAAGGTTCTCTATCTCACTCCTACTTGTTTCTTATTCAACTTTCAGGGCACAGCAAGATCTGCCTCCTCCAAGGAGGCATCTTACACTACATCACTACAATCCTTCTCCCAGTGTTAGTGGCTCCTAAATCCTCATGCAGGTGATGTGCTGTCTCAGATGACTGTTTAATTGTTGCTCCTGTATTGTTCTGACCTGCCAAACGGGATATGATGCTGCTTGAGGGTAGAGACCATATCTCCAAATTTCTGTGTTGCCCTATGGTACCGAATGTTGTACTCGGTCCCCAGGAGGTACCTGAATAAGGGACTGGTACATTGAAGGAAGTATAAACAAAGCCTGGATCCCTGCTATAAAATTAAACACAGTGAAATGTAAACTCAAAGGTAACGTGGGGCCTGAAACCTCTGTTGACTGCAGAGTAACTTAGAAGAGCAAGAGAAACCACGAGTGTCGTATCTATTCCTTGGCCACAGATTCTCTGTACCTCTGTCTCCTCCTGTGGGACAAGGAGACTGGACAGTGACATCTCAGATCACATCCATCTGTTTGAGTTCATTAATTCTCCAACTGTCTTTCCCGGCAGACACCTAGCACTCAGCCTCTGGGTATGACTCCTGGCCAATTTCATGTTTTGATGTCACTGATTTCTCATTTTCTAAGAGGTAGAACACAGTTCTATTCTACTCCGAGTCTTAGATCACGGTTGGGTTGGCAGACGTACCCCCAGCTCCGGGCCACTTCTGTCGGGGATGATGTCGTGGATGTTCTTGTAGTAGCCCAGGCACAGGGTGGTGCAGCGCACAAGTGCGCCCATGTACAAGGAGAGGATGGGGATGAGCAGGGGCTCCCGGCATTCCAGGTGACTGTGAAGCAAAATGGCTACAAAAACAACCTGAGAGAAGGGAGAACGGGAACAGGTCAGAGGGGAGAAGCAGGAACCGATCGACAGAAGCACAGGGCCATGCTCTGGAACCTGAGACAGACCTCTGAGCAAAGATCTTGATTTTTATGCAAAGAGAGGCGAAAACTGGATGGTGGCCTAGTGTCGCTCTCATGTAACTCAGGTGCAGATGTTTGCAGTTGACTGGAGGGACACACTGATCATTCTGTTATACCTACCATGACAATTCTTTCAAGCAACTACAAGCATCTTTCAAGGCATCGTTTTTAAGGTTATTGCTTAAAAAACAATCTATGCAATATGTTTTCACGAATCCCTTGGCAATGACTGACTGGAACATATAACTTAAAATAATGACAGCACAGAAAAGCACTGCATGTTTGCACCAAACCAAGAGATTTGGTGCAAGATGTACTATTGTGTGAAACCCATTAACTTAGTAAAATTAAACAAAAACAAAACAAAACAAAAAAACACCCCTCGAGAATTGCCATTGAAATGGGAGGCATTATAAATAATTTCCATTTTACCATTGGTGATTAGTGATTACTTGCTACTTATGCCAAGGTGGTATTTCAAAGTACTGTGGATGGAATCTATTTACTCATTACCAACTTAATGTAGCTTTTCCCTCTCGAGGCTGGACACTCATGTGTGTATGTAACACACACCAGAGAACTAGGCTACATTTAACAAAGAAAAAAACAGAAGTGATCAATTATACAGGAAAACAGACAGTAATGTTTATAGGATCGAAGGCACTAAAAATGGGCTGGGTGCCATGGCTCACACCTGTGATCTCAGTGCTTTGGGAGGCTGAGGCTGGAAGATTGCTGGGGGCCAGCAGTTCCAGACCAGCTTGGGCAACATAGTGAGACCCCATCTCTATAAAAGATTTTTTAAAATGAGCCAGGTGTGGTGATGTGCGCCTGTAGTCCTAGCTACTTTGGAAGCTGAGGTGGGAGGTTCACTTGAGCTCAGGAGTTTCAGGTTACAGTGAGTTTTAATTGTGTCACTGCACTCCAGCCTGGGTAACAGTGAGACCCTACCTCAAAAAAGAGCCACTGAAAATTCTGCCAAAAAACACCAACAGTAATAATTATAAAACAACTTATATTAACATTTAAAATACTAACCTATAAAAGTAGAATAGGTTGAAATAACCAGAGTCAGGAGAGAATGAAATTACAATAATGTTTATATCTCTATCCAATGGTACAGTCTCTAAAGCAAGCTTCACAATGTATTAACCTCCCTGTCCTGCAAAAATCAGAGAATCAGCCCAGCTTTTGTCTAGAGTCCTCCTGGGATCCAGTCATTCCAAAGACCTCAGAAGCATACTGAGAACAAAGGCAGGACAATGCATATTCCTGAGCTACATCAACCTTAATGGCTAAATATCAATGGAAAAAACAAGCTGAAGCACGTAAAAACCAGGACTGCAGCGGTGGGAGGGCCGGTGGGAAGGAGTGTGTGACTGAGGAGGGGGTAGTCAACAGAGAGAAGATCGGGGAAGCTGCCTGCTGTGTTTAATGGTGGGAAAGTCATTAGTAAGAACCATCTAGGTGGGCTGATGGGGGTGGAAGTCAGCCTCAAGTAGGTAGAGAATGAAAGGGAAGTGAAAAAGACAGTGAGTAGAAGCCACCGTCCCAGGAAGTTTGGCTATAAAGTGATAGAGAAGTGTAGCTACAGAGTTAGGTGAAATACACAGGAAGCTTCTTGTTGCTGTGTTAACATGGCAGAGATTTGAGCACGACAGGACAAGGGAAACGATGCATGAGAAAGCAGGGAACAGGTTCCTGAGAAAGCAGCACAGGCCAGGACCCAGAGGAGTGGCCCTGGATGGGGGGAGGGACACTTCCTCCCTTACAATGAGAAGAGAATGGGGAGGATGCAGGGCTGGAAGGTAAGTGTGTAGGTTTGTTGGCTGGAAGGTGATGAATTTGGTTGCTGCAGCTGACTCTGTGAGGTGGGAAATGAGGTTATATGTTGGGAGGTGAGAGGCAGAGAAACACCCTCTGAAATAATTCCTACAGAGTCAGTAGAGGTGAGGGATAAGATTGTGCATTCACAGTTTGATCAGTTTGTTCCATGGTGTAACCTTTTGCAGAAGCACCACGGAAGTGCAGGAAGATGCATAACACAGGGTTGGTTCAGAGGAATTTTCTCGGAAGGCTGAGATGAAAAGGCAGGAGATAAGGGAATTTACAGGAATGCAGGGGATGTACACATTATGATCTGACCAGCCTTGGAATGTCAGCTGACCTTGAAAGGCAAGGGCTGATGATAGCAGAGGAGTTACAGGATGGAAATCCGAAGACGGCAAACAACCTTGAGATTTCTCACCTTGATATCAAGCAAGCTAAGAAGGTCCAGATGACCAGGGAATAAAGCAAAAACAGCAATATGTTTTCACGAATCCCTTGGCAATGACTGACTGGAACATATAACTGTTAAAATAATGACGGCACAGAAAAGCACTGCATGTTTGCACCAAACCAAGAGGTTTTTTGTACTATTATGTGAAACCCATTAACTTAGTAAAACTTGAAAACAAAACAAAACAAAACAACCCCCCTCGAGAATTGCCATTGAAATTTGAGGCATTATAAATGGTTTCCATTTTATCACTGGTGATTGGTGATTATGTGCTATTTATGCCAAGGTGGTATTTCAAAGTACTTTGCATGGAATCTATTTACTCATTACCAACTTAGATATGTTTTCATACCTAACAAATATTTTCAGGTAATAAGCGGAAGCCTGAGGGTAAAAGACTTTAAAAAGAGAATTTATTCCCCTAGCCATATTGTGGTAGGAACTCAAGCAACAAGGTTTAAAATAACTACTCCACCAGGCACAGCCTGAAGCCAGATGGCATCTGAACTTGGCTTCCACGCTCCCACTAACCAGATCTGTTTATTCTGAACTTGCAGGCCTTCCCTCAACAGGCAAGGGCCAGGATCAGGTTTAAAACAGAGGGGGAAAATGGCTGTAGGTGTATTGGCAAAGTCTTTTTCAGAGATACGCTTTTCTTCTTCTGTCCTTGGATGGCTACTATGTTTATTTCAGGCAAAGTTAAGGAATTTTTTTTTTTTTTTTGCCTTTAAAAAAACACACATCTACAAATGTGTGCTCACAAACGCTCACCGACTTGCTGATGCCAGTGTTTGAAATGAGAGAGGCTTACTGAATTTCAAATGAAGTGATTAGAGTGAATAAGGCAGTCTAGTTTGTCTCCCAGAGGATACAGACAGTAAGACTGGGACAAAATTCTCTACTCACTCTTAAGAAAATTAACAAAGACATACCAAAGAATGATGGTTGCTAGTATTGCTAGTATTTACACACACACACACACACACACACAATGTGTTAGTAGAAATCCATTTAAACTACTTATAACAGTGATCCACGGAGTAAACACAATTAGTCTGGAAATTATTGGTCTTCATACTAACAGTTCAACAGTAGATTATTTCAAGAAGGGGGCTAAGAGATCAGGGTGTGCAAGAAAGGAAAAATGTATGGAAATGTTCATAGAATAGAAATGAGACTGGGCGTGGTGGCTCACACCTGTAATCCCAGCACTTTGGGAGGCTGAGGTGGGCAGATTACCTAAGGTCAGGAGTTTGAGACCAACCTGGCCAAAATGGAGAAGCCCCGTCTCTACTAAAAATACAAAAATTAGCTGGGCATGGTGGCAGGTGCCTATAATCCCAGCTACTCAGGAGGCTGAGGCAGGAGAATCACTTGAACCTGGGAAGTGGAGGTTGCAGTGAGCCAAGATCATGCCATTTGACAAGAGCGAAACTCCGTCTCAAAAAAAAAAGAAAAAGAAAAAAGAAAGAAATGAGAATTTGGAAGGGCATGTAGAGATATAGTCTAACCTCCTCCTCTATGAAGAAATCATTCTCCCAAATCCCTGACTGTAGCAACTTAGTCTAACTTATAAATCATAGGAATTCAATCGATTTTTCCACTAAAATTGTTCATGCTCTATCCTTGGTAGAAGAAGAAAGGACAGAAAGCCAGGGTTGAGTGCCAGGGCTCAGAGAATTGGACCCAACAGAGAGTGGGATGTAGGCCTTCTTCTCAGACCGCGGGGAAAGGCAGCTGAATCAACTTCCTGGTTCTTTCTAAATGTGGGGAAGTGACCTGTGAATGGCAGCTCTGCATGGTAACAACAGAGGATTATAAGAACGTTTAAGAATAATTCCTAAGAGCCCTCTCTCTAGAACACAGTGACATAGTGTTAGGCCACACAGAGGGCACCCAGGCAAGTGCACAGTGACCCTAAGACATGCCAAAAGGTACTAGGTATGACTGTAGAGTCATCTCACATGCAAGCTCTGTAAAAATAAAGGTCAAAACCTCTTTATTTAAATTTAAATTCCTACAGCCCGTATTCTAGCAAGATTATACACACTTTTATTACAGCAAGTTTCCTTTTCTCAACCATTTAGCAAATATTTATTGAGGTCTCTATGTGATATAACAGTGCTGGCAAAACCAGGTCGAATGCAGAATGTACTGCACAGTGAATGAATGTAAATCACACATCAGTTACACATGCCAGAAGGGGACTCTGAGGAACTCTGATTGACACACAGACCATATTTACCTGAGCTATGACATCTGAGATTGAGGCACATCCCACCAGGAAACTGTATTTGTGTTTTAAGAGAATGCCAGCATGGGTCCATGCCTGCCAGAAAGAAAAGAATTTGGCATGAGATACACCTTCAATATTATGCTGTTTCTGGTTGATGCGATTTACTGGACATTCCTGAAATATACTTTATAGCCCCTTAGAGCCTTAGCGCCAAGGTCTGATAAATCTTTGGTTGGTAAAATTACTGTAACTTGATCTGGTGGCTGGTTCCACTTTAGAGTTTTCCAGTGGAGTGAAGGACTGCACGCAGGTATTTATTTAGCACCAATTGCATGCAGACTAGTGCACTATTAGGTTTGTACGCCTGGCAGGAAAGCTGAAGGAATACCAAGAATGGAGGAAACGCAATCTCTCTCTCTCAAGCATCTCAGTCCCAAAGCAGCATCCTTCCCACGTGATGCACGTCATCATGAGGGCTCTCATTTGGGTCTGAGTTATTACAGTTATTACCGGCGCTCACTGACTGATTAGAGTCTACTGTTTTCTTGTCTTCAAGTTTGGGCAGGATCTGACCTGACACTTTGGGAGATGAGGAGGAAGGTGCTATGAGGGGAGCAGATGAAAAGCCCGGGGAACAGCAGGTCTGGAGAAGGTTTCGAGTTCATGACGGGCTCTGTTTAAGGATCATTCTTCTTACCTTCAAGGTTGATTTGGACTGACACAGAAATGACATTTCATCTGAGCTACGCACAACGCGACAAGCAGGGTCTATTCCCCAGGTGCACGTCAAGACTTAGCAGAGCAACAGCTAATTCCCTGCCCATCTGCAAATCACGGCTGTGGGCTGGCTTTGTTGTCTGACAGCCACCATATAATAAGCTTCCTGGCTTTAAACATTCTCTCTCCAACCCATACATCAGCGCCATGCTGCCGGGGTGAGGGGGTGGGGAGGGAGGAGTTGATCTGGTCCTTATGAATGTTCATTATTTTCATTTTTATTAGCCATCTCGTGCTGTTATACCAGGGTTTTGGGGGGAACTTACAGAAGAAACATGGAAGAAAAGGGCACCAATTACAAATGCTCTGGTGTTCTGTTTGATTTCAGAAAGTCTCTTATGGCAAATAAATACAGCTGAAGGGACATGGACCACCAGGTCCTTAAGAATCTGCAATCCACTTTTACTAACAGTCCTGAGTTCCTGGAATTCACCGTATAACTGTAACTCTTCTATGTGTGTGGAGTCCCACTTCCAACACAGATGGGAGGACAGACCTCAGAGCAACAGCATGGACCTGGCCAGGAAGCTGGGCTTCGACTCTTTAGGGATGTCAGAAAGGCCACTTCTTTCAGTTCTCTAACTGGGCCACCACCATGGGCTAATTCAGGCACTGCAGGGAAGCCAGTTATGCACTTACATCATGCATCTAACTGCATATAAACTTGAGGTGGGGTGGTAAAAAACTATACAGACTAACATATTTTTAAGTCTCCTTCCAAGAATAATTCAAAATGGAGCCAAAGGAAAGGGTTTACTTTCCAGCACTGGACCTTATTGGAAAACATATACATATATCTATTTTTTTCCTTTTCTGCTAAGTCTTTTTTATATTTATAAGACAGCAGAAGAGAATGAAAGCGCTGTTTAAGCACTCCTCAGTATCATGACAAAGAATTTATGGAAGTGGGCAGCCCTGAGCTAACGGGGTAAAGCTGGTTATTAAAATAATGAATCCCTGCCAGTATGTTCAACAGATTCTTACTCTGAAACTGTGGGTGTCTGTGCCACACAAGTGGTAAGTTTATCAGAAAGTGATTCTGATCCTTTGATCCTGAGTATATCAGAAAAGAACTGTGTATCTGCAACAAAATTTTCAAATGGGCTTTCCTGCCACCTACCAGAACTTGTGGCAAAATTAAATACATTGACAAGATGGACTGGTTAAAAGTCAACAGACAATTGGAACCTGAGTATTCTGCTGGTGGTATAGCTGCTATGAAAATCAGTCCGCTATTTCCTCAAGAAATTAAAAATCAAATTTGCATATGATCCAGCAATTCCACTTCTGGGTATATACCCCAAAGAACCAAAACCAGGGACTCAGATATTTGCACACTCATGTTCATAGCAGCATTACTCACAAGAACCCAAAGGCGGAAGCAATGCAAGTGTCCATCAGCTGATGAACGGATACACAAGATGTGGCCTAGACATTCACTGGAAAGTGACTCAGCCTTAAAAAGGAAGGAAATTCTGACACCTGCGACTACATGGATAAACCCTGAAGACACGCTCAGTGAAATAAGTTAGTCACAGAAGGACAAGCGCTGTATGATTCCACTCTTTTGAGGTATCTCAAGTAGTCGAATTTGTAGAGTTACAAAGTAGAATGGAGGCTGCCCAGAGCTGGGCAGAATGAGGACAGAATCTCAGTTTTGCAAGACGAAGAGTTCTGAAGATTGGTTACACAACAGTGTGAATGTGCTTCTTGACATTAAGCTGTACACACAACAATAGCTAAAATGGTAAATTTTATATTATGTATATTTTACCACCAGCTAAAGAAAAAGAAAGCAAGCCAATGATCTTCTCTACTCACCATTGCATCCATGAAAGGAAAGGCGGCGAGGTACAGGAAGGCCCTTCTCGTCTTGCTCCCCACCGACTCGTCCACGTGGTGCAGTTTATTGATAATGTAGTATCCTAAATCACTGTAAGCTGCAATGGGTCAAAAGGCATATGTGGAAATATTTAGAAAAGGGTATCTTTATATTCTTTTTATTTCAAAAGCTTAAAAACAATTTTAAATGTAGTATTTGTTCGTCGCAGAAAAATGAGATATGCAAATAGAAAAAAATGGCCTATAATCTCATCCCTCTACCCAGAGTGAGTCACAGCCAATGCTCTGGGTTCTAATCACCAAGTTCTTTTATTGTTCTGTGTTTTAACATAAAAATGAGATTGTATTACACACACTCTTTTGTAAACCATGATCATCTTTTCACGATATGCTTCTACATTTTATTTCTTTGAATTCCCTTCAATGAACTGAATTTCTTTTTGAGAGTTTGCTGAGTATCAGCTTGCCCAGTCTCCTACTGTTACACAGTTAGGTGGTTTCCATCATTTTGATACTACAAAAGAATGCTTGGTGGCTAGGTTTGAAGCTAAATGTTTACACATATTCTTAATTATTTACTAAGAGAAAATTTCTAGATGTTAATATGCCTTTCCATAAAACTTTAAAGCTAGCTTTTTCGCATTTGCCAGTTCTTCTATTTCACTTTTTGGGAAGAGGGTGGCAACTTAGGGTATAGTCCTGCATGCTGGAAAATGGCATTGCAGAGGTGCTTTTGTAGTCCTTCCAATATCAGAATTTGTTACCAGTGACTAGAACACAGTAGGCGGTAAGCCAGTACGGGCTGAATGAATGCATATGTGTCAAATAGGAATAGGGAAGGAGGAGAAAGGTCTCCTAATGTATTAGTCAGGAATCCTGACAGATCTTATTACCAAAGGTTAAATAAAATATTGAGCTATTTTTTTAGTTCATTGATAGAGGCTTAGATTATATATAAAAATAACAGGCCAGGCAAGATGGGTGACACTTGTAATCCTAGCACTTTAGGAGGCTGAGGGAGAAAGATTGCTTAGCCTGAGTTTGAGACTAGCCTGGGCAACATAGTGAGAGAGTTGGTCTCTAGCAAAAAAATTTTTTTTAAATTAGCCAGGCATGGTGGGACATGCCGGTAGTCCCAGCTACTTGGGAGGTGGAAGGAGGAGGATTGCTTGAGCCCAGGAGTTCAAGGGTACAGTGAGTTATGATCGTGCCACTGTCCTTCACCCTGGGTAACAGAGTGAGACTCTGTCTTTATAAGAAAGAAAAGAAAAAAGAAGAGGAGAGGAGAGAGGAGGGGAGGGAAGGGGAGGAAAAAAAACAAAAGGAAAGGAAAGGAAAGGAAACAGGAAAGGGAAGGGAAGGAAAGGGGAAGAGAAGGAAAGAGAAGGAAAGGAAAGGGAAGGAAAGGAAAAGAAAGACAAGAAAATAATAATCTTCATGTTTTTCACAGTGTCTTATGAATGTTGTAAGAGTAGGTGTGCCTACAGTTTTCATTCTCTTACAACTATGGGTATTAGAGGTGTGAGTAAGTGGTTTCAAGAGGTGGGAGGCTGGAGTGACTACAATCTTCAGAGAGTGAGGTGGGCCAGGTCGAGGAGAGTGAAGGAGGAAAGTTCCTAGTCCTTCCAGGCAGGGTAGAGGTGAACAACCAGAAGGTCAGCTGCCAGGTGAACAAAGGTGCCAGGTGTCATGGTAGCAGGGCCATCAGAACCACTGAGGCATCAAGAAGAGAAATCCAAGAGAGGGCATGTCACGTGGCAGAAAGAAAAGAGACCTAGGAAGATGGGATTAGTTACAGCAAGGGACATGGATGGAAGGAGGCAGCTGTGACGTCCCTGTCGTTTGGATCAGAAGCTGTGCAGAGATGAAAAGGGGATTAGTAGAGGTTTGACCTGGGAAGGCAGGGAGGGAGAGCTCCTGTCTGATTTTGCAGCCAGGTAAGAATTGCATTCAGACATGAGCTAAGCTGGCTTAAACACAAAGCCAGAATGAAGATGTTACTTAATCATACAAATGGTCTACTTTGGGTGCTGAACTGTGGAAATTTTGTTCAAAGTTTATTGTTGCTGTTGCTGTTTATTTGCACATGTGTTTTCATTCAGTGAACAAATGTTCACTGTGCAGGGATCTGCAAGGAGACCATCCTGACCTTGCCCACATCGCTGTCCCCACACCCACCTCTCAGCTGAGGCCACTGGCAATGGTAAAGGCAGCTGTGCCAGGCGAGTAGAGCAACGAACACAATGCCAAGTGCAAGAGCACAGGGCTGGCTAGGAATAGCTCATGAGCTAAAATCCCCTGGTGAAGGTTACGGTCACTATAAAACACCAGCTGAGGGGACCTGACTGCTGTGGCTGAAGCTGGGGACTATGGAATTGGTAAAAGGGGAGTATTATAAGCTGAACTACGTCCCTTCAAAATTCAGATGCTGAAATCCTAACCCCTGGCATCTCAGGATGTGACCTTATCTAGCAATAAGGTCATTGCAGATGTAACTGGTGAAGATGAGGTCATACTGCAGTAGAGTGGGCTTTCAATCCAATGACCGACGTTCTTACAAAACAGACATTCAGATACAGGGGTAGATGCACACAGGGAGAACGCCGTGTGAAGATGAAGGCAGAAACCGGGGTGAGTCTTCTACAAGCCGAGGAACGCCAAAGATTGCCAGCGAACACCCAGAAGCTGGGGAGAGGCCTGGAAGACAGTCTTCCTCCCATCTCTCAGAAGGAGCCACCCCTGCAGCACGCTGACCTCAGACTTCCAGCATCCAGAACTGTGAAACGCTCAGTTTCTGTTGCTTAAACCACCTGGTTTGTGACACTTTGTTACGGCAGCCCTGGAACACAGGTACAAGCAGCTTCTGAGAGAGGGAGAGAGAGGCTTATTTTCATGTTAAACTCTGGGGTGGCAGGAAGATCGGATGGGACATGTGAGTTTCAGCAGCTGAGAGCAGGGCATGCAGTCTGCTTGAAGTACCCAGAAATACAGAGATCAATATACATAAGCTTCCCCCTGCTGAGAAGAAAAAGAAACTCATCTGAGGAAGGGCAGCCCCTTTAATTATCAGGCCTAGAGATGCACTGAAATGTGACGACGTGTGACAGCGGTCACGTCTCACTCCCACCTTGAGCTAATAATGACCTTGAAACCACTTGCTATGTGGGCTCCAGATGAACTGATGCCAAGTAGCCATAAAATGCCATATGCTGGACACCACAATCCATACCCTATACTGTAAATCAATGAGTATTCCCGTCAAGCGACTTCGTGTTGGCCCATTCCTTGTCCCCTTTTGCCTTTTTTCTTTTGAGACGGAGTCTCGCTCTGTCTCGCCCAGGGTGGAATGCAGTGGCGCAATCTCAGCTCACTGCAACCTCCCCCACTGAGTTCAAGCAATTCTCCTGTCTCAAGTAGCTAGGACTGCAGACATGTGCCACCACACCTAGCTAATTTTGTGTTTTTAGTAGAGATGGGGTTTCACCATGTTGGCCAGGCTGGTCTTGAACTCCTGACCTCAGGTGATCCACCCACCTCAGCCTCCCAAAGTGCTGGGATTACAGGCGTGAGCCACCGCACCCAGCCCCTTTTGCCTTTAAAAACCTGCTTGTAACAAAGGTTGAAAGGAGCACTCCCCAAGGCCACTGGGAAGTGTGTCCCAGGTGGCGATCCTCAATCTTGGCCCAAATAAACTCTCTATATAATTTAACCTCAGTTTCTTAAATGTAGCTACTTATTACAATAGTTTAACAGAAACATCAAAAACCGTGCCTTCATGCAGAATAACTGGGCTAAACATGTAATATTTACAGGGTCTAAGGACTGCTGGGGTGTTCGCCATCTACTTTCCTGGGGATGAGCCCCGCCCAGCTTCCTGGTTCTGTGGGAAGGTGTCCCCAAACTCTTGCCTTCTTCAGCATCCAGGGCTTGTCCTAGCTCCCTGGGTTTCAGAGTACTGTGGGACCTATGAGGCTTGAGGCTGCCTTTGCTTCTTTTAACTTCTTTTTATTTCAGTCTCTTCCTCTTTCAGCTACTCCAGGAGATATTTGAAGGCCACGGGAAGAAGCTTTTCCTCACAGGTTTTCTAACGTCCTTCTACGCTTCCCCTACATGATAGAGGACTCTGATTATAACTAGAGAGGTTACTTTACCCTGGGAGCTGTGAGTATAAAATCCCAACAACTGTTTTCACCCACTCTCTTGGGGCGACTCCCTCCCTCCCATGCCCCTGAGCTATTTCCAGCTAGAGCTATTGGGGGGGTGGGGGGCAGGTAATTTGTTTAAAGTGCTTTGCACAGAGTCCATGATTACCAGGCTAGCCGCCTTAGCAATATTTAGCAACCTTCAGCTTCTATAAACTGCCTTACCAAGACTGTTCTAAAACAGCCTGTATTCCTTATGAAGAGCAGAACATTACAAAAAAAATTAAACAAGGTTTTTGAACAGATGTAAACAAATTTTATGACACTGCAGCAGCAAGAAGACAGTGACTTGACCTGTTTACAGGTTGACAGCTTTGACCCTTCTAAACAAGGGACACAGAAAGTGCCCTTCAGATTCACGGGTCCACTGACCTCAGCCAGCCAGGGCCATAGGCCCTTTCTGAATCAGTGGTTCTCAAACCTGTTCATCCAGGAGCTGTTACAAACCATAAAGTGTCAGTATTAACCGAAATAAGTCTAGATACATTTTTCCACATCCAATAGGCAAATCTGAGAACCATTATTCTAATTCAAATTCCCAAGTTCTCAATGTTTAAAAGTCTCACAGGTGCTGTTATTGACCCACCGTGACCAGCTTGCGAGGCTTTTCATGGGAGCAGGTAATTTCACCCCTGTGCTTCTAGGGTATTATTTCCAAGGTATGTGTGTTTATATGGCTGACAGGCCATATTTAAATCACTTCAATAAATACATGTTGAGTGACTCGTATGCATCAGGTACTACACACACTAACACAGCTGTGAAGGGGACAGTCTCCTGCATCTGGGCTGGGATACAGACATTTAATATCACCCATCTATAATCTATACTAGGCAACACGTGTCCAGTGTTGGGGATGGGAGGCATAAATATCACCTAGGTCTTGAAGAGATACC